AGCCAGGGAAGAACCAACACAACATACACATGAAGTTTAAAGAGACAGACTGCAAGGAATTAGCTCACAGGTGGAAGGGCAGACTGGTAAAGCCAAATTCCACAGGGCAGGCCATCACAACAGGCAGGCTGGGGCTGTCCCCAATTTGTATGATTGCTCCTGTCCATAGGTAGAATTTCATATTCAGGGACAAAATCCTTCTTCAGCTAATCCATAAGGACTTTCAGGTGATTGTGCCAGACCCAGGCAGTCTATCTGGGAGAACAGGTTTTCCTACATCATAACCTAGGGTTAGCCTGTGCTCCTTTACTCAGAGTCAACTGCTTATGAACTATAGTCTCATTTACAAAATGCCATCCTGGAAATCCCTAGATTGGCATCTGAAGAACCAGGGAGTTTGGCCATAGAACCATCACAGCGTGCATGATTAGACTTGTGGATGCCAGGGCCAGCTTTTAAGTTTCATCCCTACCCAGAGATATCTTGAGTCCTTGGCCTTCTCGGGAAAGGCTGGGGAGTTTGGGTTCCCACAGTTAAAGACCCCTTCCAAATACAGCCAGCTATGTCTTTCCCTCCTTGGTTTATCAAAAGCCATTGAAATCTCCTGAGGTTATCTGTATGCCAGGCTACATAGGAGGCAGCACACAAAATCAGACATCTAAAACCCAGAACCTTCCTCAAGGAGCTGGGGACTAGTAGAGTCCTGGGAAGTTCAAGTTGACTGGTATGCATGCTGACTCCACACGAAGCCCCTCAGATGGGTCTGAGAAGATTTTCTGGAGTAGCAGGATGTTAAATGTTGAATAGGGCTTTGGGGGTAAAGACTGACAGTGACCTTCAGAGATCAAAGTGGAGGGGACAGGAACAGTACACACAAGGCTCTATGGTGCAACCCTTTAATACAGTTCCTCATGTTATGGTGACCCCCAACTATAAAATTTTCATTGCTACATCACAACTCTAAATTTTCTACTGTTATATATCATGATGTAAATATCTGTGCTTTCCAATGGTCTTAGGCAACCCCTGTGTAAAGGTTGTTGGTGCCCCAAAGGGGTTGAGAACTCTCGTGGGTAGGCTTGACTTGACAAACAGCACAGTAAAGAGATAACACTAACCTTTGTCTCTTACCTGGGTCTTGACCAGTGGGTGTCTAATGACTCCAATTAACCCTGTGGGTGAGGGTTCA